GGTCTAGTAAGGTGAGCATCCACGAAACTGCCTAGGCTCCCACGAAACCAATAGGTCCAGTAGAATCAAAAACCCGTTGCCATTGTTCTTGAGGTCTCAGTAGTCCTCCTTGTCCGCTATGTTCAGCGAGACCAGTTTTGACCCAGGCTTTTTCAGACCCAGGCCAGCTGGCCTTGGTGAGTTCCTGATAGAACATCCCCATTGTCTCAGTGTATGGGTGCACCCCTCGCGGTCCTGAGTTCCTTGCTCGTGCTCTCTCTCCTTCTGCTCCTGATTTGGACCTTGAGATTTCAGTCCGGTGCTCCAATGTGGGTCTCTGTCTCTGTCTCCTTTCATCACCTGATGAAGTTTAATATCCAGGAGGATGCCTATATGATTTTCTTTGGGTTCTCCTTCTTATTTAGCTTCACAAGAGGGTTTTTTAATGTTCCAACTTGAGTTTGGACTATTTCTCTATCACACCAATGCAGTGGGTGAGGGAAGTGCAGCCTGAACCCGGGAAGGGGGGAGCTTTTAAAGGGGAAATGCCATAGTAAGGGGCGTTCATGTCCTGTCATCCTGGGATTGGGTAAGGAGGGCATAGGGCAAGGTAGTCTCTGAAACCATTGGTCAGTTTTGGGGCACGAAAACCCTAACAAAGAGCCATTAATAACTGACAAGGTGTCTTCAGGGGCAGGCTGCCTCCTAGGAACATCTGAACCCCGTTAAGGTTTATGGCCCTGCTCCCTAGCTCCTTAATTGGCTATTTTCAGGGTATCCATTCAAATAGCGCTATCACAGCACATATCTGAGCTGAGATCCCCCCCTCATTATATGGCTTAAGAAGATGCCCCCTCTTTAAAATGGAGTCTGCAAAGTCAGGTCCTCACACCACCATTAACTCCAGTTAGGGGATCCAAAGCCCTGGTCTAACCTTCACAGACACCAGACGTGCAAGTAGTGCACAGACATACATCCAAGCGAAACACTCAAACACATAAAGAAAACATCCTGAAACAAGACAGTTCCATTTTTCCTCCTGTTGAGGACTGCTTGCTTTTGGAATAAATAAGAATCACTGTGGAGTCTGTTAAACTCTCCAGGCCTCCTCCAAAGAGATTCTGATGCTCCAGGTCAAGTAGAAGATGAGAACTATGGGTTTTAGACATCTCTGGTTTTATTTTTGAGGTACAGGCTCTCTCTGTGTAGCTTATAGACTGGCTTCTGCTATAAGGCTTTTTCTTGCTTAATCCTGGGTTTACATGTGTACACCACCATGCCTGGCCTCCTCAGGTATTTCTTTGTTTTTGTGTTTTTGTTTATTTGTGTCTGAGACAGGTGTAGACTTGGATGGCAGTAATTCACTGTATAGACCATGGTGACCTGGCATTTGTTACTGTCTACCTGTCTCCAACCCTGATATATCAGGCTTTGTTTTCCTCTCTGACTCCCTAGCTGATTTTTATTCAAATAACAGACAAAATACACTCCCTCAGTTCGTTGGCTCCATGTCACACTTGGTTAATAAATAGCTTTTACTGGGCAGGTGAGCTGCTTCAGAGGTAAAGGCGCTTGTGGTCAAGCCCAGAAACCTGGGTTTGATTTCTGGGACCCACATGGCAGAGTGAGAGGATTGAGGCCCAGATTCTTCTGACCTCCACATGTGCACTGTGGTACTGCAGTGTCTGCCCCCAGCCCAATAAATAAGAATGTGTCGAACAAAATAGCTTCTCCGAAAACTGAAAAATAAATATCACAGAACACAAAATAAGAAAGCAAAACAAAACCCATTTATTTACTTTTTTTTTTTTTTTTTTTTTTTTTTTTTTTGAGACAGGATCTTACTATGTAGCTCTGGCTGTCCGCTGTCCTGAAACTCACTCTGTAGACTACGCTGTATTCAAACTCATAGAGATCCACCTTCCTCTGCCTCCTGAGTGTGCCACCACTGCCCGGTTTATTCGTTTACTTCTTGTGTTTTCACTTTTTTGTCTGTTTCTCTAGATTTACAATGGATG